AACAGCTCTTACCATCAGGAAGTTCTTCCTAAAGTTTAGAAGGACTCTCTTTTCTTGTAACTTGAATGCATTGCTCCATGTCCTATTCTCTGGAGCAGCAGAAAACAAGCTTCCTCTATTTTCTTCATGACATTCCTTCAAATATTAAAAGATGGCTATCATGACATCTCTCCATCTTCTCCAAGCTAAACCTGCCCAGCTTTCTCAGTCATTCCCCATAAGGCTTGGTTTCCAGAACTTCAGTCATCTTGGCCGCCTTCTTTGGACACGTTCCAGCTTGTCAGTATCCTTCTTGAACTATGGTGCTTGTAACTGGACCCAATATTACTCTGGGTGAGATCTCGCCACAGCAGAAAAGGGTGGCACTATTTCTTTCTTTGGTATGGATAGAATTGCGTTGTCTTTTTTTGCTGCTGAATCATGCTGCTGGCTCATGTTTAACTTGTGGTCTCCTAAAACCCCAGGTCCTTTTCACACGTCACTGCTGTAACCCATCCAGTATTTCATAGGATCATAGAATTGGAAGAGACCTCAAGGGCCATCCAGTCCAACCCCATTCTGCCATGCAGCAACTCACAATCAAAGCATCTCCGACAGATGGCCATCCAGCCTCTGTTTAAAGACCTCCAAAGAAGGAGAATCCATTGAAGGAGTGTGTTCCATTTTTTAACAGCTCTCACTGTCAGGAAGTTCCTCCTAATGTTGAGGTGGAATCTCTTTTCGTGTGGTTTGCATCCCTTGCTCCAGGTCCTATTCTCTGGAGTATTACCATTATTTCTGCAGTGCAGATTAAACCTAAGTTTGTTGTTGTTGTTGTTGTGTGCATTCAAGTCCTTTCCAACTTAAGGCGACCCTAAGGCAAACCTATCATGGGGTTTTCTTGGCAAGATTGGTTCAGAGGAGGTCTGCCATTGCCTTCCCATGAAGCTGAGAGAGTGTGACTTGCCTAAAGTCACCCACTGGGTTTTCATGGCTGAGCTGGGAACTGAACCCTGGTCTCCAGAGTCATAGTCCAAATGCTCAAACCACTGTGCCACGCTGGCTCTCATTAGACCTAAGTAGCTAGGAGTATACTGTTACCAGCCTTGAGATATTCTGAAATTTTGGTGTGTGTGTAATTTTCCACATGACCCCAGACGGACCCTGTAGTGCAGTCCGCCATAATCCCCAAAGCGAGGGGACATGTCTGCACCTCAACCTAAGGTAGCCAAACAGGTAATGCCATTGGGGGAACAATGCCCCAGGACAGGCTAAGCAAATAGTTTGGGAGTTGCAAATGGGACATTAGCATCTCCATCATCCGAAGGATGTCTCACCGGATAAGCCTGATGGGCTTGATCAAGCACCCATTCCCACCTTGAATACCGCCAGACCATGGCTTCACCCAGAGATATGGAAGCACTTTTGCCCAGAGGCTAGATTTAGCCTATAAAAGACC